TACTGGAGAAGCAGACCTCACCCCTAAGGCAGCTACTTAGCTGCTCTAGGAGATTCCACAATGGAGTTGATTACCAGTCTCATAATAGGGAATAACTACATCCAGCTGCCCAGCCACTCAAAACCAGGCCCAGCCAAGTTGACACATAACCCAGATAGCATTTATAAAATCCTGAAATAAAAACAAATTGGCAACCAAGAATTATATATACAGCAAGATTGTCTCAAATATAATGACAAAATTTAGATATTCCCAGGTAAACAGAAATTAAGAGAATTGTAAAAAACAGACTAACCTTATAAGAGATGCTAAAGGAAGTCCTGTGGACAGAGAACTAACGATGATGGACAATGACCAGATATTAAGACAAATGACAGCATCACCTGGAAATCAACCCATATATAGAAGTATCAAAAATAAAATAAACTACAAGACTGAAAATAGGGAACCAGAGATGTCAATTTGTAAATGATAGTAACTACAAAGTAAAACAAGGAAAAAAAAGATGTAATTACCAAACTTTCAGATGGAAAGGAAGTAAAATTATCAAACCATCCTTTGCTGGCATTCTCCAGCTTTAAGTTCTTCACCTAAAGGTCCTTTTGCTTTAAGTTGCCATATAATGACTTTGCTTTTTCTCAAATCATATTGGAATCTATACGTATGCCTTTCTTACACAGTCCTGTAGCCACATAAAAGCTGTATTTTCAATATGAAATAAAAGGGTGTTTTGCAAAAAAAAGCACAAGGTTTTTATACCTGCTGGCATAGCTACAGCGACAGCTTAATGGATTACCTTTTTTTTAAACAATAGTCCTTAATCTGAATTCATTCATCTTGAAGGCAACTGCAGCTGCAGACTTCCATTGCTTGGTAATATCAAGCAATTAAATTTTTATTTATGTCATGACTTTTCTACTTCTTTGGATCATTTCCAGCATCACTAGTGGCACTTCATATGGATCCCATGGTGTTATTCAAGGTTTATGGTATTGCACTAAACATAATGAAAAATATTTGAGAACTGTAAGAGATCACGTTTTACTGTGATATGCAATTTACTGGCGAGACAAACTGCTAATGTGGAGATGATTAGTGTCACATGGCATTTTAAGTAGATAGAACACTTGAGCCCACCACAATAGCAGTAGGAGGTAGCTGTGAAATTATTACAGTAGTACAGTATGTACTATAGTTAGTTTTATGAAGTTATGGTTTAATACTGCATCTTTACATTTGTTTACATTTCTCTCAAGTACAAATGGTGCCATGTACAGTCTGTGTGCATCGGTTTTGATAAATTTTAACTTTTTGTAACAGATTTGTGTATGTTTTATGTAGTGAATGATAAAATAGACTAGTCTCTACATATATTTTATGCCTTCATTGCATACGTAACTTTTTCTTATTTTTTTTGATACTTTTAGGCTATGTGGTTCATCTGTGAGTTTTTTCAAATTATTGCACATCTCCCCCAAAATTTCCAATATATTTATCGAAAAAAATATGCATGTAAGTGGACCTGTGCAGCTCTGGTGGTGTAGTACCTAAGACACTTGACTGCTAACCAGAAGGCTGGCGGTTCATACTCACCAGCCACTCCTCAGAAGGAAGGTTGGGCAAACTACTTCCATAGTAATACTGCCTTGGAAACCCAAGGAGGGGTTGCTATGAGTCAGATCCTACTCAGTGGCAGTGAGCTTGCTTGGAGCTTGTGCAGTTCAAATCCACATCTAAGGGTCAATTGTAGGTGGCATAGTGCCTAAGGCACTTGTCTGCTAACTAGAAGGCTGGTGATTCAAACCCACCAGCCACTCCTCGGAAGGAAGACGGGGCAATCTACTTCCATAGTGATACTGCCTCAGAAACCCATGGGGAGGGGTCCCTATGAGTTGGATCCGACTCCAGGGCAGTGAGTTTTTTTTTTTTTTTTTTTTGGTAGTCCATTACAAGGTGAAGCGTACACCCTCACCACTTAAGGAATGTCCTGAAACCTTCGAAAATCTCAAACCCATACATGTTCATTAAGGTCCCTGCTTTTCTCCTCAATCACATTAGTTTATAGTCACTTGTTTTCTTTTTGTACCTTATTACCAAAATTACCCTCTCTCTTATTCTTTTCCTCATGTTATTTTATCTTTTTTGGTAAAAGTTTACACAGCAAATTAGGTTCCCGTTTCACAATATCTATACAAATTGCTCAGTCCCTTTGGTTACATTTTCACAATGAGTCAGCATTCTCTTAAATTATGTTCTGGTTGCTCCATTTCCAGGGCTTTACTTTCCCTGCCCCTTTATCTTCTCATCCTTGCTTTAGAGTAGTTGTTGACCTTTTAGTCTCATGTAGATATATTTTTGATGGAGAAGCATACTCACAGGTGATACCCTTCATTTTACCCTACCTTTGTGAGATTTTTTTTCCCCCTCTTACTTGATGGATGTATTTTGAATAAGGCAGAATTTCTGTCACCTCAGGAGTTAGTGGACTCCCAGTGGTGCATGGATGATGACAGAGCTGGGCTGAAGGCAGATGCCCAACTGACAACCAGCTTGGTGACCCTTGCAGCTGTATTTAGTTAAGTACTTGCTTCAAGGTAAAAATGGCTCCCAGATTAGACTTTCAGGGGCCTTGTTCATGTTGAAACCCAGGCTAAAGGGCCACTCCATTTTATATTGCACACTGGTGCTAATTCACCCATCTGTGTCCCAGGCTTCCACTGGTTGTGGGGTTTGCCCTTGAGCTTTTGGGCCAGCTGCAATCCAGACTTCTGCTCTTGTTCACCTCCTTCATCTGACAGCTGGCTGGGATCAAAGCCTGCACACCAAGACCAGAACACAGTTCTCTGACTCATTCCTGACCCTGTGGCTTTAGGGTCTAACCATATTGGAATTTGCCTATGAGCATTTCCAGAGTCCCTTTTCACTGCAGAAAGCAGCCTTGCCTTTTTACCCATTTATCAGTAAAATAGTAGCTTCAGGCAGCTGTTTCATAAGGTCTTTTCCTTGGTTCTTCTTTCTCGGGTCTGTTGGTGGGAGCTGTTACACTCTACCTGTCGAAAACACATTGGTACAGGCTGTACCACTGCAGGTGGGCCAGGTGTAGATGCTGGCAGGCTGAGTACTGCAATTCAGGG